TTACGCATCCCGATTGGCCATTTCTCATGCGCCACATCACGTTACTGCAAAAGTGTCTAGACTCCTGGTGGGGTTTACCACCCTGGGTGGCACCAAGACGACTCCATAATAATTAAATTTTATTTTTTTAACAAATTTATGCGGGCCGGGCGACCTAAAATTTAAATTAATTAAAGTGAGCCAGGTCGGGCCAGCAAAAAATTTTTAAAATTAAAAGCGGGGCTGGGCTGGGCCACCAAAATTGATAATATGCAGGTCTCTAATGATAAGAGAGGTATGCTTCAATTTGGACATGCCATAAAATTTACAAACTATATCTAATTAAAATATGGACGATTAAATAAAGAAAATATTTAAAACAAATTCCAGATTATAGAATAAACAAAACTAATACAACAAAATACTATCTAGTTTATATTATTAATAGAAATATTTGAATATTTAAGTGTTAATTATAAATACATAATATTTTGTTGCATTATTTTGACATTTATTGTTAAGTGATTTACATTTTAAACGTGGCACATATTGACAAGTATGAAACTAGTGTAATTTAAAGACCCACGATAGCAGGATTCTCAAATCCATCATCAACATATTTGCACGCCAAATCCCAATAATGCTCACTCTTATGCTTTCTTAAGTAATCGCGGGCCATTTTCTCCGTTGGACATGTCTTAAACCAAAATCCTTTAAACCCGTGATCCTTTACTTCTCCTTCCCAAATCAGGGAGCATTTATTTTCCTTAGGAGGTTCCATAGATTCGTCAACAGGTTGTTCACTGGTGCCTTCTCCTATTCGTGTAGTATCAGACCAGTCAATACGTCGCAACATCAATTTCTTATAATATTTAATAGCTTTAGGCCCCCCTTCAACAATCACTACAGTAAAATTAGGATTGATTATGACTGTGCCTGAAAGCCCAAGCTGTTGAGCATTCATGTCAACTTTAAACTTCATCTTAGGATGTGAAAGATCATTTATTCTAGAAAAATAAGGTTGTAAATAAAAAATGTAATCACGGCTTAATTAATAAATCGTGAAAGGCTTTATTTATACATACTTAAAAACACAGACTATTGTAGCAGACTTCTTATCTTCTTCCATCTTCTTTTGTTTTTTCTCTTTTTTCTGCTCATCAGTCAGTTTACGCTCTTCATTTGCTTTCTGATGAGTTTCTTGTCGCTTTTGCATTTCTTTACGGACTTGAGCCTCAATTTTTGTCGGATCTTGAACGGCATCATTTGTAAGGACCCTCATCAGATTACTTAACTTGACTTCATAAGCGAAAAAAGTATTAACCACATTGTATAAGAAATTAAATAAAGGAAACGAACGTTTTTTAACGCCAAACCTTTAGGCAAATCAGGAGGCAATAGTCCCAAGCGAATTTTGTCTTGTTTTTCTTTTTGCAACTCTAACCGCCGTTGTTTACGCAACTTCTTTTGCTCCTATAATGCAAGTTAATTCATTTGTAAATTTGTAATTAGTTCATAATATTGCATCATAGATAAATCATAGTATAACAAACCCTTTTAGTCAAAATCAACGGTTTTGGCGGTGGAGGGCCATTGTCTCCTGGAGGCCTGATTGGTACTGGATGTTGAACAAACCAGGTAGCAAGAGAATCTTCATCATCGATTTTGGTTAAACCAGCATCAATATCATCGTAAGATTTATTTAACAAGAAAGGTAAATCCCACCATTCTATCACAGGCGGTGGATCTCTCTATTATAACAAAGTTAGAAATATTAAATAAAAATAAAAAGTACAAGTTAACTAAATAATATATCAGCTACCTTAATTGCTTTATCAGTTGAGTCTATTTCTGCTTCCATCCCAGCCTTCTTGACACTTTCAGCAATTTCTTCTTTCAACTTTTCCAATTTGGCCTACAGTGTTCAGAAATTCAACTTTAATATAACATTTCACAATTAAATCGATCGTATGTAGAAATCATCTTTAATACCTGTGCTCTCATTTGATTTCCTAGCGCTTCATATTTGCCCCTCTGAACAAATTTAAACTTTTTACGGGTTCGTCTTTGAGGTGCGGCCACACCAGCTCTCGGATCGAAATAAGGATTCTGTGTAATATCATCCAATTCTTCAGAAGGAGTCAGCGCCTTAGCTTCTTGTCTCGATATAGCAGGTGCAAGCCTTTGGTTTGCCTGTTGAGGCGAACAAATACCAACATTTCAACATTATGTTCTGTGTAGAAAAAGACTATAGGTGTGCATTAAACGAAACGATATAAAGAATAACATGGGCTAACGATATTTAGGCAAGCATACCTTCACAGTAGCAAAGTTAGGCTTAGGCATCAACGCTGCAGCTCGTTTCAAATCTAGCTTTCCACTTTGATCTAAAAGAAGTGCAGGGTGTGACTCCACTTTGAGTCCTCCCTTTGCCTTTATAGAATCATCCCCCAATTTTAATAATGGATTGGTTGATGGCTTTATAATTATAAAAATAATTTTTAATATTAAATTATAATATTAAAATATACTGAAATTTATATTGTGAAAAAAAAAAAAAAATGAAATGTCACCAAATAAGGGTTGGCTTTGGCCAAGTTCACTTTGATTTTCTCTTTAGCTTCTTGAATTTTGCGTTTAAGATCAGGATCAATTCCTGACGCAACCAAGCTAGGTTGAAAAGGAAGATTTGAAACTACCGGAGGTTGTATGGGCAATGTAGTCTTTGGCTGGGTTGGTTTAAAATTTGCGGCCATAGCCTCTAATTGAGCTCGTTTTTGTGCAATCATAGCTTTAATCTAAACGATTAAAAAATATATATAGATATATATTTATTTATTAATAACCTAACAACTTAGTAAATCTAAAAATTTAAAAATTTAAAATCATTACTTGATCGGGACGAGGCGCCGCATTTTGTACAGTAGAAGGATCGGTTGGCGTAGGGATAAAACTGGGAACTCCCTGTAATAATATCCTTGATTCAGAGAAACATATTTCCTTTAAGCACGATATAAAATTTGATTGTAAAATACTTACCACGCTAACACTAATTAAAAGGTCACAATCAAAAATGAAAAACGCCGCATATTAGTTATACAGATAGCAGCAAGTGCGAAAAGTTGAGGAAACAACGTTGCTTACTTTTTAAATTTTTTGTTATCTGAATCTGCTTTCACCATCGGTTCATCTTCTTCACCAAAGACGTTGGCGGTACGCCGTTTACGTTGATCCATAACGAAACTCTCAAACAGCAAAATGACTAATAGAACTTTTAAATATTCCGAAATCCGTCAGTGTTGGCCAATTAATTTTGAGCATGACGGCATATTTGATTGGTCGCAAATATGTAACCTGCAGATCATAACTTTTTAGAGGGTCCCTTAAATTCATGGTGCGAATTTTGTGAAATACTCGGGTACCCTTATGTCACAATATTCAATACGTACGTACGTACGTACGTACTACGTGGGATCGTTAGATCGTCAGGTAGTTTTTAAGTTTGATTAATAACAATAATAAATTTGTAAAGTCAAAGTCACTGAAGCATATGGGCTAGGTAAGGGACGAAATTGACAATTTTTTAAAAGATGTTTTTTTGCATAAATTAATTTAGAATAAGATTAAGATCATTTTTTATTTTAAGACACAAAAGTAGTTGTATTAATAAAATCTTGTAGTATAGCTCTTTAAAGTTTGTATTTTCTTATAGTTTATTATAAGATTTATAACATAAAAATTGATTTTCTTCTTGGTTTAGGCTGCAGATAAATTATTCTGAGTTTTTTTTCTTGCTATCTTAGGATATGAAGTTTAAATATATTCTTTTTTTTTGTATAAGAGTTATATTCTCTTTTCTTTGTAAGAGAGCTGTATATTCTTTGCTTTGTAAGAGAGTTAAATTAAATTTTAATAAAGACAGAGACATGGTTTTACTATTAATATTTTAAAAAAAAAAAATAGAATAAACAAAAATATTAAATTTAGTTATATCTCTGTAACAAAGGACTTTAAAAATATGAAACTAGGTTATTTATATATAAAATATTGTTAAAAACAATTTTACTTAGGTAGCTAAAATATATTTACTCAATTGTTTTTAGAAAAAATATGATACAAGTGATTGTCAGAAAGAGTTAGTAATTTGTATTTAATTTATTCAATATTTATGAAGTATAATTTTACTAAAGATAAATATTTGTAACTAGTATCTTTTAGAGCTATACAAGGATATAAGTTTTGTCTTAGTATAAAACAAACTCTTATAATACTATCACTAGTCGAAAACTATGAATTCGATCTGGTTGAATTACAATAATATTCAGCAACAAATCAGCTAATTTTTTTAAAATTTGGTAGCTTCAATATTAATTCAACCTAATTTAGTCAAAAATTCGATAACTGAATTTTAAAAAATTTGATTATACCGATTTCTTCAATAATTCGACCTAATTTAGACAAAAATTTAACAACTAAATTTTAATAAAATTCAACTATGTCAATTTCTTCAATAACTCAATCTAATTTAGTCAAAAAATTCAATACCCAAATTTTAATAAAATTCAACTATGCCAATTTTTTCAATAATTTGACCTAATTTAGTCAAAAATTCGACATTTAAATTTTAATAAAATTCAACTATGCCGATTTCTTCAATAATTTGATCTAATTTAGTCAAAAATTCAACATCTGATTTTTAATCAAATTCGACTATGCTGATTTCTTCAATAATTTGACCTAAATTTAGTTAAAAATTCAGAAATTAAATTAAATTGAATTTTAAAATCAAAATTTTGTCATATCATTTTTACATAAAAAATCAAACTATATTTGACTAAGTAACTAGCTTCATTATAAAATTCATGCTGTATTCTACTTTATAATAGTATCAATTAAAGCATGTCATAATCATCGTTATATAAAAAATTGAACCATATTTGACTATGTAACCAGCTTCATTATAAGCTTCATTAAAAATTTATGCTGTATTCAATTAAA